TGTATATACCATAGACAGCTGACAAAGGGATAACTCATGTCCCAGGTGGGGTGGAACAAGATCTGATCATGCTACTGAGAACAATATGAGCTTATGAACTGGCCAGGCATGATGACACAAGTAATCTCAGCCATTCGGGGGATGAGGCAGGAAGACAGCAAATCCTGAGGATACCCTGGGCTATACCGTCTTGGAAAGGCGGGGTAAGGCTGAGAATATAGCTCAGCAGTAGACGGCTTGCTTCGGATACCTGGCCTGTGTATGGTATCTATGTGCCCACCCTCTCTTTCTATCTCCTTTCTCTGGGCCTTACCTGTCACTCTATCACCCTTAGTGCAATTTTCAAGGGTTTATCTGCTGGGATGGGAGCCTGCAAGAGTTATCTCTGCCCTACTTGTCATGAGCACTGATTTTGGACCCTTATGAATTATTTCTAGAATTTTCTATGTAATATTTTCAGATTGCAGTTGATTGTGGGTAAATGAAACTGCAGAAATCAAAACCACAGACAAAGGAAGGACTATTCTAGATACAAAACACATACACAATCAAACATACTCAGTCACAAGCACCTGTACTTAGAAGGCATCTGGTCACCCAGATATGCACATGTACACATTCAGATGGGCATCTCCTCATACCCACAGAATGAACTAAACCATATAAACACAGATACATGAACACACGTTGACTAAGGCACACACACACACAGATGCACAGAATTCCAAATGGACAAACATATGCAGGCACACATGAGTGTCCAAAAGACAGTGTGGACAGGTTTAATCCTGGGTAATGAAATTAGGACATTCCTTATCTTTGCCTTCAAGCTAGCACCACTTTCTGTGACAAATATATGTTCATCATGCAAGAATAACAGCAAAACCCCACCACTGCCTGTGAGGGTGGGACCTCTTAGAAGCAGAGGGTGGGCAAGGGTGGGCCCAACCTCCCGCACCAAGCCTCTGTCTCCCCTCCTTGGGAGTTTCTAACCCAGTGAAGGAGCCTCCTCACCCCAACACTCTCTACTAGGATTCCATGGGCTACAATTTGAAGCTCAATCCTAAATATTAACTTGATATGCAACTTAACAGTTATCAGAAAGCCACGGTCTCCAAACCACAAATTGGCATTTTGCTGTAAATTGTCAAGTTTTAATAATGTCCCTCTACTTCCTGGAATTCACATTTTTGGATATTAATATTCCTGCATTAACAAGTCCCAAATTCAGCATTTCATATTTAACTGCTTATTTAAATGGAATTAATTTGTAACCAATTGTCTTCAAATATGCAAGGCAATTTAACTAAATGCCAAAAAATAAGAAATATGCTTGTCCTGAATAGCCAGCT